TTTGTGAGTCGAAAAAGAGCAACGTGGTCAATTGTTTGTTCCTAAAGGCCAAAAGTAATTTTGGTAAGTGGTTTTTCCTATTAATCTTCTCTGTGTTTCTCTATTTCCTATGTAAAAGCATAGTTTTCTGTTAATTATACGGTTAAATTCCGAATATCGGACATACCTACCTCTATTGCTCCACGCCCTGTCTCATAACGTCCATTTGTTTCAGGCCTTTAATCTTCAGTTTTAGACGTTACGTTTTAATCGTCACCTTTTATTCGTCACGCTTAGTCCTTAACTTGAGTAAAGAGTTGAACGTTGAGCTTACTGTGTGGTGCAAGTAGTACTTCCAATCTTCAGCCTCCTCTAGACCATTGGAAGCTTTAGTGACTCCTAATTACTGAACTTCAGTGCCCAGGGCCAGTGGCTTCTTGTTGCGGCCTTGATCCAGACCCAGGCCATCGGATACACTGGAAGATATTAGTTCCATCCGTCAGGTTCCCCCGAGAGTTTAGGGACTACTCAGGTTTGATAAGTGTGTTAATATCAAACCTTACCAACCCCTTATTGGAGTAAATCACCAAAAAAACGCAGTTCTACTATCTTAAAATTATCCTTCAGATTAGATGTTATTATTTCAGTTTTAATCAATTATATATCTTACCTTTACTATATGAAATTTACCATTCAGGTTGGGTATTGTTAGGTACTTCAATTTTATTAGGTATCTAGGTATTTATCCTACCTATATTGTTACATAATATTAAAGCCCTTCAGGTTACGTATTGTTACTTCAACTTTGATTAATGCTGCACTGAATACAGGTAAATACTTGTACACTGGGGTTAAATGGCCATTTACGAAGGTACTGCATTTAGTGAGCTTGTATATTGATCATTTCTATTTCAGGTATTATTGCTTTTGTACGGTACTCTTTACTTTAAGGGATTCGAGTTAATTTATTGTTCAACCTGTTCTGGTTCTAATTAAAACCCGTACCTGATTGTAGCAAAGCGTTTCACTTTTGTCCCTCCTTCTTGTTTATATTTCAGGTTGTGCTGCTATAGTTCCGTAGAAGTTTCCTGCTTTCGTTATATCGGTTGATTTCGTGTACTGCAGGGAAAAAGCAGGTGGCGCTCTATATTTAGTTATTTAATTAACCCACCCCCTCTCCGTATTGGAAGCTAGTCGGCAACCCTATACACGAAATCACGTTTCTAGATTTCAGCCACCAACCAACCCTTTCTTTCTATTCTTTCTGTTTTAGTTACCCATTCTCTGTCTCACTTCCTTCAAGTTTCATTATTGACTTCTCCGTTACGTTTTGCGGGTAACAAAGTGGCAATGCCCGTTTTTGTCACGTAACAAAATTCCTTGAGAATCTTTGATTAGTAAAATTGCTACTATTTTGTGATGGATAAAAATTTAGAATAAAATTATTGTTTGGAAAGTTATTTCTGTTAATTTTATTATAGTTATCATGGTTTTGATTATCTCGATGAGAAAGATTATTTCTTTGATAATTATTAAAATTGTGAAGATATCAAAAAAATTAAATCTTAAAATCTGCTCGTGCTGACAGATTCATATTTTCAGGATAAATTATGTCAAGCATTTGCTATGTTTTTTCCCTAACACCATATCTCGAAAGGCTGTCAGAAGTTGTCAAAATAGGGGTGAAGATATCAAAAAAATTATATCTCAAAAGATTTTTTTGATATTTCCACCCCTATTTTGACACCTTCTGACGGCCTATTGAGATATGGTGTTAGGGTGAAAACATAGCAAATGCTTGTCATGATTTATCCTGAATATATGAATCTGTCAGCACGAGCAGATTTTGAGATATAATTTTTTTGACCTCTTCACCCCTATTTTGACAACTTCTGACAGCCTTTCGAGATATGGTGTTAGGGAAAAAACATAGCAAATGCTTGACATAATTTATCCTGAAAATATGAATCTGTCAGCACGAGCAGATTTTAAGATTTAATTTTTTTGATATCTTCACAATTTTAATAATTATCAAAGAAATAATCTTTCTCATCGAGATAATCAAAACCATGATAACTATAATAAAATTAACAGAAATAACTTTCCAAACAATAATTTTATTCTAAATTTTTATCCATCACAAAATAGTAGCAATTTTACTAATCAAAGATTCTCAAGGAATTTTGTTACGTGACAAAAACGGACATTGCCACTTTGTTACCCGCAAAACGGAACGGAGAAGTCAATAATGAAACTTGAAGGAAGTGAGACAGAGAATGGGTAACTAAAACAGAAAGAATAGAAAGAAAGGGTTGGTTGGTGGCTGAAATCTAGAAACGTGATTTCGTGTATAGGGTTGCCGACTAGCTTCCAATACGGAGAGGGGGTGGGTTAATTAAATAACTAAATATAGAGCGCCACCTGCTTTTTCCCTGCAGTACACGAAATCAACCGATATAACGAAAGCAGGAAACTTCTACGGAACTATAGCAGCACAACCTGAAATATAAATTAACTCGAATCCCTTAAAGTAAAGAGTACCGTACAAAAGCAATAATACCTGAAATAGAAATGATCAATATACAAGCTCACTAAATGCAGTACCTTCGTAAATGGCCATTTAACCCCAGTGTACAAGTATTTACCTGTATTCAGTGCAGCATTAATCAAAGTTGAAGTAACAATACGTAACCTGAAGGGCTTTAATATTATGTAACAATATAGGTAGGATAAATACCTAGATACCTAATAAAATTGAAGTACCTAACAATACCCAACCTGAATGGTAAATTTCATATAGTAAAGGTAAGATATATAATTGATTAAAACTGAAATAATAACATCTAATCTGAAGGATAATTTTAAGATAGTAGAACTGCGTTTTTTTGGTGATTTACTCCAATAAGGGGTTGGTAAGGTTTGATATTAACACACTTATCAAACCTGAGTAGTCCCTAAACTCTTGGGGGAACCTGACGGATGGAACTAATATCTTCCAGTGTTTCCGATGGCCTGGGTCTGGATCAAGGCCGCAACAAGAAGCCACTGGCCCTGGGCACTGAAGTTCAGTAATTAGGAGTCACTAAAGCTTCCAATGGTCTAGAGGAGGCTGAAGATTGGAAGTACTACTTGAACCACACAGTAAGCTCAACGTTTAACTCTTTACTCAAGTTAAGGACTAAGCGTGACGAATAAAAGGTGACGATTAAAACGTAACGTCTAAAACTGAAGATTAACCCCCAACTACTACTCCCAAAATAAATTTCTCAACTACTACTGATGGGTCAGTATGACCCAGAGTTATATTTATTCATAGAAGTTATAAAAAAAGCATACAAAGTATTCTCAAACACAAAAACTAAAAAGATTTCACATAAAAAATTTACTTAGCGCAGTTCGGACACACTTTAACTGCACATTGTTGGCAAATATATTTTTTACAACTATTGCAAACAGAATTTGTTTTTCGGTCTTTTTTTTTGTCCAAGGGCATATGGCACATCTTTTTCGTTTAGGCGTTGTTTTATCAGTAACTGGTGGTTCTGGAATCTGAGTGTGGAATAAATTGGAGCCCATTTCGCGAAGTTTACGAGGAACTTTTGTGTTTCCCAGTCTTTTTATGACGAACGGCTTGCATAGTGATACCCCTAGTCGCTTTAGAAAATCATAGCGCGAAATTTTTCGCTCTTTGGATGCACTATTATATAGAACATAGCTATTGACTCCAGCAATATTCAATATAGCATGAAATAATGCCATTGGCCAACGTCTTGTTCTGCGCGAAGTAGAATAATTTGCGCATTTTTCGTCAAGAGCATCAACTCCTGCTTTGGTCCCATTATAGTATTCGATAATATCTGGTTTCATTGTTATTTCATTTTTTTTATTATCGTGGTGCATACTTGATACTAATATTACTGCTTTATTAGTTTTTGGAACAAATGATACCATGGTAATCGCTGGAGTGAAGCCAAATAGTGAACTTTTAGGGTGTCGCTTACGACTGGGTTGAAATTCTGGCGGTATTTGGCGTTTGTTTTTCTTCAGGGTCCCTACGTAAGTGAGCTTATTATTCAGCAGCTCATTTACTATTTCAATTGAGGAGTACCAGTTGTCGGCGGTTACATTTCGATTGGTTTTTGTTATGTGCTTTGTCAAACGAAGCACAACCTCCGAAGGATTGGAGAACCGTTTTTCTTTTGTTGCCTGATCTCCAATTGGCGCACCTGTATAAACTTCAGCGTTTAGCATGTAGTGTGTCTTTGAATCTGCCAGGATTTGTACTTTTATGCCATATTTGGCTGGTTTACTAGGGATGTACATACGGAATCCACATCTACCCCTAAAAGGTACCAACATCTCATCTAGAGTAACATTATCACCAGGGTTATACAGTTCCCTTGCGTTATCCACAAAAGTATTGAATACTTCTGAAATCGCTGCCAGTTTGTCCAATTGGACCCTTTCTTTCCTGGTTTGTAAATCATCGAAGCGTAAACAACAAAGCAAGAAGGAAAATCTTGCAAGGCTCATTGTAGCTCTAAAAATGTCCCTTCCTGTTCCATCAGTACACCACATTGACCTTAGATCCTCATGGCCGGACTTGAATAAGCCTTGTAGATACAACAAACCAAAAAATGCTTTTAGTTCATCTACACTTGTTTGGTCAATAAAAGTTGGCTGGAATTTTCTTCGGGCCGCCCTACGTCTTTTGAATGATCTATATTTTGCTTGGCACAGTTCTATTTTTCTATTTGTAAATGTACAAATTATCCTTAGGATCTTGTCATTTATAAGCAAGTTCCAAGCTGATTCGGGTGATTTAGGTGGATTAGACTTTGCAAATCCTTTCAAACCTGGTTTAGTATTTATAATATTGTGAGCTGCAGCCCTTCCACGAATAGGTGGTGCTACCTTTGACCATCTTGTTCCATCCTTTCCACGCCAAGACGTAAAATTAATTAGGGGTTTATCATCGTCAGAATTATCATCGTCAGAATTATCATCGTTATCATCATTACCAGAATTCTCACTTAGCGAATCATGTTCACTAAATAGTTCACAATCTTCTTCTGAATCGCTTTGATCACCATCTTCTAAAATTTGTCGTAGAGCGTCTTGTTCATCTTCAGCTGTTTCCATATGCGTACTGGCTCCAACTTCATCATTCTGCGACTCCGTCGATTCATTATTTTCTTCCAGGTCCTGCCAAAAATCATCATTTTCTACAATATCTAACAGTTGCGCGTCTGTGTAGAATTTAGAAGCCATTTTTATGTATATCTGGATACAAAAACTAAATAAATACTTGTTTGAAACAATTTATATGTAAAAAAACTTACCAAAACAATTAATTCCTAACCTGCTGAAACGTAAATAATTATAACACAACAGCTACCGATGGGTCACATTGACCCATTTTCGTAAATTTGGCCACAACGGAACTACACTCTACCGTAGTTGGTGTGTTACTGAAAGTAGACGCGCAAGCTAGTAAAAGTCGTGAAATCTCGCCACCATAAGCGCAAAATTGGAGGGGGAAATTCAGTTTAAATTTGACTGTGGGTCAATCTGACCCTGTCAGTAGTAGGGTTAAAGGCCTGAAACAAATGGACGTTATGAGACAGGGCGTGGAGCAATAGAGGTAGGTATGTCCGATATTCGGAATTTAACCGTATAATTAACAGAAAACTATGCTTTTACATAGGAAATAGAGAAACACAGAGAAGATTAATAGGAAAAACCACTTACCAAAATTACTTTTGGCCTTTAGGAACAAACAATTGACTACGTTGCTCTTTTTCGACTCACAAAAAAATCTGCACAAGGCGATTGGGTGCTAAAATAGCGGATTAGCCACCCTAGATCTATGATCGAAACTTGGCAACTCAGAAATCGGCAAAATGTGCCTGAGGAGTTTTCCCGAACACTTAATCGTGGAAAGTCCTCGACCTGAATGAACTCTGCTTGTCCCTGCAATGTCCTTTCAAAAGGTTCTGTCAAAACTCCAAGGTGGAAGGTACTGGGGAATTTTGATGGTAGTTGGGGCGTGGGACTTATTCAAGTTAAGTTAGTACCGGTCATTGACCCTATTTGGAGCGCTGTCAATCTAGAAAATCTACTCCGATCAGACAATCAGCTGTTCTAGTGTAAATATTGTGATTTTGTTTTATTAATAAATTAATTGTCTATTTATTTTAACCCTACTAACAGAAAATCAATTCCATTAATAAACCTCTAACTTAATGATTCTGGGAAAAATGAAAAGTTTGATGAAAAGTTTGGCCACAACTATTGAAAAGACAACAGTGGCTTGACGAAGGTATGCCATTCATTGAGGCGAATACGCTTATTGCCTTTTATTTGGTCTATTTTGACACCCTCTGACGGCCTATCGAGATATGGTGTTAGGGTGAAAACATAGCAAATGCTTGTCATGATTTATCCTGAATATATGAATCTGTCAGCACGAGCAGATTTTGAGATATAATTTTTTTGACATCTTCACCCCTATTTTGACAACTTCTGACAGCCTTTCGAGATATGGTGTAAGGGTGAAAAAATAGCAAAAGCTTTTGATAATTTATCCTGAAAATATGAATCTGTCAGCACGAGCCGATTTTGAGATATGATTTTTTTGATATTTCCAACCCTATTTTGACAGCCTATGGGGTTCTGGTGTTAGGGTGTAAAAAAAGCAAATGCTTGTCCTGAAAATATGAATGTCAGTACGAGCAGATTTCAGGTTATAATATTATCTCATATTTCCGACGCCACTGGCCGTTCGGCAGTTTCCGGAAGTTTTGGAGGCTATCCTAAGAGGCTGATTTCACACCGGTACCTTTTTTTGATTAGAATTTCTCCTGTTCTGGAAATTCTGATGAACGTAGCCAATATTTCTGTTTGTACCCTGTAAATTTTTATTAAAATTTTTGCTTTGCTCTAGTTCCATCCCAACCGCTATAGTGATTGCCTTATTTATATCACTTATACATTCTGCGATAATTCTGATTTGTATTTTCTCGTTATTTAATTCTAGATTCTAAATTTTTAATTTAAACATTATATTTATTTATGAGTTGCTTTAATCTGTTACCATAATCTTTAACCGATTCTCTGAAATTTTGTTTTATGTTCATTATCTGAGTAAAAAAATGCGAGGGGGTCCTTTATCTGTAAATTGCTCCAATAAATAATCCTTAAGGTTTAAAGTCAGGCCTATAGTTTATTACAGCAACGCGAGATGTCATTGCTGTCGCCCCTATAGTGTGCCCTAACTTGATAGTCAAAAAAAAAAGAAATCTTCATTTGGTTAAATTGTGTGATGGAACGTTTTTTCTTTTTCTTTTTTTGTGGAAATTCGAATTATTTTTCTGTTTTACATAAACAGGGTTGTAATTTGGACCAACGCAAATAATTTTGAACGTTAATCCTTCGGATTTTTTTTAAACAGTGTAGCTACAGGCGTATTTCCAACTATTTTTGCAGTAGCGAGAAAACTAAATATACGTTCAAAAATTTGAAAAAAATATATGTCGCGTAGAATTCGAATAGTAGTTCGTAATAAAAATAACGGGAAACTTCATCTATTCGTTTTGAAATAAATGGTGAAAAACCACTTTTTTTTCAGTTTTTGCGATATAACTCAAAAATGGCGAGTCAACTTTGTTTAAAAAAATTATGGATTAAAGTATATCAATAACCATAAAACATATAATTTTTTTTTTTGGAATTTTTGAACGCAAGGTTCAGAAAATAGGGGTTGACTTCAAACCTTAATGTCTTCGCAACTTTTAAATTCCTTATATTGCGTAACTTCTTGTGCTTGCCCTTTTAGTTTTGTACCAAATTTCAATTTTGCTAATTTATTTTTTTCTGTTTCTTTAACGATTTCCATTAATGCATCGCAATTTTTCAAAAAGTATTGTAAAGGGTTTGAATCTCCATACCCATCGAATCGTTCATTTGGGCTTGTTACCCACAAAACCGATTGAAAAGTAAATAATAAAATTTGAGGGAGTGACTGAAGTGAGACAGTAAATGGGTAACTAAAACAAAAAGAAAATAGAAGAAAGGGTTGGTCGGTGGCTAAGATCTAGAAACGGGACTTCGTGTGAAGGGTTGCCGACTAGCTTCCAATGCGGAGAGGGGTGTGGATCAATTAAATAATTAAATATAGAGCGCCACCTGCTTTTCCCTGCAGTATACGGAGTTAACCGATATAACGAAAGCAGGAAACTTCTACGGACCTATAGCAGCACAACCTGAAATATAAAAGTAAACAAGAAGGAAGGACAAAAGTGAAACGCTTTGCTACAATCAGGTACGGGTTTTTAATTAGAACCAGAACAGGTTTGACTCTAGAGTAGGTTTGGAGTGAGTTTTCCGAACGCCCTGGAACACTAAAAATTATTAACACTGGGACCAGAACAAGAACAAAATAAATCGACTAGGTGCCGGTACTTTTGCTCTCATTTAACAGCCGTTAAAAATAATCAGGGATTTGAATGTGCTTTAACCACTTCATACTTATAGACCTTGGCCCATGCAAAATTTTGACGACGTATCAACTTCGTTAATCGAGAGCAAAAGTATCGGCCCTAGGAGTACCTACCTAACCTTATGTTCTAAAAATAATATTTACAATAAATTCACTCAACTTGAGTCCCTAAATAAAGAAATAAAGAGTATCGTATAACACTTATAACAGCAATAATACCTGAAATGTAAATTATTAAACAAGCTTACTAAATGCAGTACCTTCGTAAATGGCCATTTAACCCCAGTGTACAAGTATTTTCCTGTATTCAGTGCAGCCTGTATTTATGAGATATTAGAGAAATATAGATCATTAATTAAAGTCGAAGTGTAATGGGAAAATATCCAACTTTATAGGTTCTTGACCCTAATAATAAAGAGTCATCATTTTGTTAGTTGGAAGCAATAACTTATATTATTGCAAAATGCCCAGCACAGCTTTCTTGACAAATATTGCATTAGATTCAAGGTTCATTGTAACTAGGGTAATTATGTCTATGTTGCAGTTTCAATAATAGACTTAACTTTATTATTGTCAACTAGCTGCTTAGGAAAGGAGGACCCGGTATTCAACCTTATTAATTTAATTGCCGATTCGATCGAAAGTTTATTGCAATTCAGCAATAAATTAATATAAATTGCGCTGCAAGCCGCAGCAAAGGCAGACTTAAACCAGTGCAAGTACCTCTCGTTGGAAAAGCCCCTCTGGAATTAAGTCTCCCCAGTGCAAGTACCTCTCGTTGGGAACGCCCCTCTGGGTATCTTCAGCCTTATCGTTGTCCAGTGCAATTACCTCTCGTTGGGAACGCCCCTCTGGACAAGGCATAAGGGTGACGATAAACTTATCTACAGTCCCCCAAGCAGAATTGACGTGTGGCCCCCTATAAGGACCCCAGTGTACGAAGGGTCATGTACCTTATAGAATTAGCATACATGTAAGGTTATATTTGGGAAAATATATAGCATATATTTTTATATAACCTGAGCGAGTTTCTCTCCATCTACCCCCAAAGCTACAAACCCCCCATGTCACTCCCGTAGAGCGGGTAGTTGTGACATATTTGGTGGAGGCGCCGTCTCGAAACCGACGCGCAAGAACCGACGTCGTAAGGCGCCTTTGAAGAAAGCCGACGCCCAAACACGTCACCAGGCGGTACGTCGACAAGAGAAATTCACGACACCGTGGCGAAGGTGAAGAGAAGACAGAAGAATAAATTGTGACACATAGTTAGTACCGCCGCCATTGTGGCAAGATAGATGCCAGACAAAACCAAATATAATTTGAGGCCAAAGAACGCAGCAGCAACGACACCAGTAGAATTAGAATCAGAAAACGTGCTCTTTCTGCCGAGAATATCACTGCAAAGATCACCACCAGAGTCAACCAGTATCAGTTTAGAACAAATTGAAAGGGAAATAGAAAACCAAGCAAATAATCAAACAGGCTACGAAGAAGACAGTGTTTTTGGTAGCCCACCAGACCTTACCCTTCAAGAAGCACCAAAACCCAGGCAACCATCAAAAGAGAAAGTAGATCAACCGGATATAATGGCGAACACCACAATAACTGATGCTATGACAGCGGAGAAAAAGGCGAAGTTGCCTCAGTTTATCAGCCCTCAAACCTTCCAGCCATGTAAAACCAGCGCGATCGAGTTCCTAAGAACATATGACAGATCAGCGATAGCAAATGGATGGGACGAAAAGCTGAAAATTGTTTATTTTGAAACGTATTTAGATGGAGC